TATATATATATGCATCCTGCTGTTATAGGACAGCCCAGAATTTGACTTGGTATTTGACAATGCTGTGGACCAGTGGGTGGCCAGCTCATCAGCAGAGAAGTGCCTGTTTGTCCAGATTCTGTACCACGCCTGCCAGACCTACTGGGAGAGCAAAGCAGGGAGTCTGGGAAAAGCTGGGAAGCTGGGCAAGCTGGGCAGAGCAAGTCAGGGCGCTCACCATGAAGTTGAAGCTGGTCCTAGTCACTCTTCACCAGGATCTGAATCCAAAATCCTGCAAGCCCGAAAGAAGAGCTATGTTCCTCCCAGGCAGACAGAGTTCATCAACTGCCAGTCCAAGCTCACAGGAGGTGCCAAATGATCAATGAAATAAGCAATATTCTGAAAATGATTTAGTTAATATGTGAATAACCCCATTTGTAATGTGTTGACCGTTTTCTTTCAGACGCCTGCACCATGAACCTGGTTATCTACCGCTGTAAAGCCTTTTTAAATCGCTTGAAGAAAATGATGGTTGCAAACCAAAGTCGATCACCAGGTCGAGGTAAGGCAGCGGTTAATGGGGTACTAAAAGTAATGTGCTTACTGACCATAGATGTTTACTAATCATGGTTAGTAATAGCCTGTGGAAATGGCTGTATAATGTTTTCTGTGGTGTTAGAGGAGCTTTGTCCATTTTGTCAGTAGTCTGAGAAACTACAGTAACTCTGGGGCTGTTTGAGTGATGTTAGCAGGGTTATCTGCAATTGTGCTATATATTTACATCAGAAGGCAGTCAAATAGGGATTAATGAACAAAAACTTACCACTGATTTGAATGGGAAATACAGTGCCTTGCGAAAGACCTCTGTGCCCAGCCAGCCCAACTCTGAGCAGTTCCTGCTCTTAATGTGATATTAACATCTTCTACACCTGTGTTTAATAGTGATAGAAAGGGAATATAATCACTTACAGCTGTCGCTGGGTAATAATATCTAAAGTGGTTCTTGTTTGAAAGGAGCATTTTGTCAAGAACCACTGGCCCTTCTGTCTTACCATAAAGCATTTGTTTGTTTCAGTCTTACTCTGACCTGTAGTTTCTAGGTCATAACTGTTTACCAGATGAAAATTTTGAACAGTTTTGTCTCCGTGCCTCCCAGGAAAAGCAGCGGCAGCAGGACCAGCAACTTCAGAGACACCTGACTCGACCTCCTCCACAGTACCAAGACCAGCCGGGACAACCGGCCAGTCAGAACCCTTTCCCACAGCAGCCGGTCAACCAGTTTACAGGTATGACCACAGAAAGAAAGACCCAGTTGTGGCAGTGCCATTCCAGCTGCCACACTCATGACATGACCTGATGGATAATACTATGTAATTTTAATTGTGTAGAACATACTGCTGTTGGAATGTATATTGATAATGTGTTTAATTTTGAAATTGTTCACAAATCAAGTGACCTAACAGAGGACCAGGTTCACTTGAAGACCTTTAATCCAATATGAAGTCAGTCTTGCCCACTGATTTGCAGTGTTGAAAGAATAAATACCTCAGTCAAAGCAAAATAAACTTATGGATAACATTTACACGATAATATCATGAAACAAACGTCGTGTACAGGTGCAGCTCAATAAATTAGAATATTGTGGAAAAGTCCATTTATTTCAGTAATTCAACTCAAATAGTAAAACTCATGTATTATATAAATTCAGTACACACAGACTGAAGTAGTTTAAGCTGTTGGGTCTTTTAATTGTGATGATTTAATTGTGATGATTTTGACCATTTTGAAGGCTCAGAACACCTTTGCAGGTGGTTTGAGTTGACTGAGTGGCATGTCACCATATTCTAATTTATTGAGATAGTGAACTGGTGGGTTTTTGTTAAATGTGGCCAAAATCATCACAATCAAAAGACCCAATGGTTTAAACTACTTCAGTCTGTGTGTACTGAATTTATATAATACACGAGTTTCACTATTTGAGTTGAATTACTGAAATAAATGGACTTTTCCACAATATTCTAATTTATTGAGCTATACCTGTATATTGTCATAGCTGACTTTAGCTGACTCTGTACTACAGTCTGAGTTAGTGTCCATTTTTCCATTGTGTGCAGTACCTGTGTATCTTTTGTATTTTAAAAAGAGATCAGCAGTAGACAGCCAACCACACATAAAGGTGCTGTTGGGTCAGATAATGAATGTGTACATTTCAAAGCAGGAAGTGTCAAACGTCAGAGTGAGTCTCGGCTGTTTGTCAGTACTCAGTTTTATCAGCTCTGATTCATTAGAATACAGCTGGACAAACATATCTCTGTCTGTGAATGTGTAAATGATGTTTACCACTGATTTGAATGGGAAATACTGTAACAGTAGTTGTACCTCTGTGCGCTTGAACTTTGCGACCGTTTGCCACATTTCAGGCTTCAAACATAAAGATATAAAACTATCTTCTGCACCTGTGTTTAATAGTGATAGAAAGGGAATATAATCACTTACAGCTGTCGCTGGGTAATAATATCTAAAGTGGTTCTTGTTTGAAAGGAGCATTTTGTCAAGAACCAGCTGTTTGAATGTATTGCATCCAGTTGGAGAACCTTAGAGAAATGTACATCACAGAATATATAGAACAGAATTAGTTTTTTTTAAATTTTTTTTATTCACTGCTCCTGACTTTTGTCTAACTGCCAGTGTGTCTTCACAGCTTCCGCTCAGCCTATGGGCAGCGTCGGCTCCATGGGAGGACCCACTCCTGGTGCCCAGCGTATGTTTCCTCAGAACCAAGGTATGATGGGTATGAACATGGGTCAGGGCAGTGGACCAGCAGGTGGTGTAGCTCCATCCCCGGGGACAGGCCAGACTGATGTCAGTCTGCCGTCCTGTGGCGGCAGGGGGGCCGGGGCTGGCCTGGAAGTCCAGCAGGTCCTCTACAACAACATGAACCTTCACCCCAACCACCCGGCCCACCCGCCCCAACAGGCCAACCTGCAGCGCCAGCCTCTAGGCTCCATGAGTGCCCCCTACAGGCAGAACCTTCTGGCTCAGCAGCAGCACCTGAAGGCACAGCCCAACGCTGCCATGCTGAAGCAGCAACAGCTGGCTGCCGCCCGCATGCCAAGTTCCATGCAGAATAGCATGGGGGCCAGCCTGTCCAGCTCGATGCCTGGCAGCATGCAGGGCGCACAGAGTGCCGCCTGGCAGCAACAGCTCGCCAGCCAGCCACCCTCCGGTAACGCCGGCCTACCCCCGAACACCTTTCACATGCAGCAGCAGCCTCGCATTCCCAAGATGCCACCGGGTTCTGCTCCCTTTGGTGCAAACCCAGGTGGGCGTCCAATGGGGGCTCTGAATCCTGGACAGCAGATGATGCAGACGAACATGGCTGCTGCTCAGCAGAGGGCGCCACCCAACCCTCAGAGCCTGGGCCAGCCGATGGCCAATCAGCAGCAGACTCAACAGCAACAGGCCAATCAGAGCCAAGCTGTCCTTCCAGACCTGGTGGCGTTCGGACAGCTGCAGAGCAACGGGCGCCAGGGACTGCAGTGTAACCAAGGCTACCAGGTGAGCAGGACTGCCAGTCAGCAACAGGTGTCATTTGGATATAACGTGGCGTCAGGGAGCTTTGCTGAGGAGAGCGAGCTAGTGGACTCCCTGCTGAAGGGTCAGAATGCCCAGGAGTGGATGGCCGACCTGGACGAACTGCTTGCCAGCCATCAGTAGTTTAATACCCCTGTGTGCACCTGGAGCTCTTTAACCCTGCTGAGCTGGGGGGGGGCTGTGCTGCTGAAGCTGCATAGTGGAAATCGCTGTCATCTTTCTGCAGCAGCTGTGGTGAAAAGACTGATTTCTGTTTTCAGGCCATCAACAGCTGATCTGTTGACAGGAGGCTGCTGTGTTAGCGTTAGCCACCAGTAAGCAGCCAGTGGTGACTGTCAGCCCACAGGTATCTAGTTACTGAGTTGTAAACATCTGGCTGACTGGTAAACACATGAGGTTTGTTGGTGAATGTTGTTTGTTCAGGCACCGCTCTGTGGACGAAACGTGCCTGATGCGATGACACTGTATCTCACCCAAAGATGTACACACCAGCTGCCAAATCCATTGCAGTGCAATGAAGAAACGTGGGTATGTGTGGTTTCCTGCTGGTTAGAGACAGGTTACACCACACAAAAGTTAGTGTGTGTCTGTCCACAAACTGCTCATTTGCAAATTACACATCTGGTAGAAGAATTTAAGCCCTTTAATAAGTCATCATGGTCTGCTGGTACATTCAGCGTATCACTGAGTAGATCCCTCGTTTTAAATGTCATTTGTAAGAACAGTTTGCTGCCATCCAGTGTGCAGAGTGTTTGCATCCAGTTCAGTTTGTGCACAAACATTTACTGGTGAATAATGTTGGTGTTTGTCTCTGTTCAGGCAAATGTTTTACTGCACAGCTGTGCAGCCACACTACAAAGCAGACACTATACTAATCTTCATAGTGCACTAGTTGTTTTGTACTAAGAACCAGTGATAGGTGGTATTAGGTGATTTAAAATCTATATCACAGTATTTAAAAGCTGATATCGTAATATAGAAATATATCGGAATATAGCTGAGCAGTAATCCACAGATAAAACAACCAGCAAAGACACAGACCCATATTTAGGGAATCGGTGACTTTAAACATGACAAACTGAGGTTTTCTGTCTTATTTTTGCAGAAAAGCTTTAAATCTACAAACCACTTCTGCTTAACAATTTGAAACACGGACTAGAGGTAAAAATTAAAGATGGCTGCCACCGGGTATAAATGATCTAGGGACATCTGTCAGTCAAGTTGCAGCTTCAGCAAACAGTCGTCCAAGTTAGTTTCTTTAATTTCCTAAATTAAACTGAAGTGTTTGACAGTTTCTGCTGGGGGTTGTAATGTCATCAACTGCACGCTGAGAATTCCTGTGACCTTGGTCTGCAGTCAGACACTGTCGTGTTGTTGGCTGTCAGCTCAGAGTCCTGTTCCTGAACACTGACAAACAGGAGCAGAGTTACTGTCTCACAGAGCTTTTCACTTCTGTTCTACCTCGTGTGTACATGTCGATGAGCAGCTCACCTGAGCGTCCGGTCTGTGTGTTTATGTTGTTACACACTGCCGTGTTTATGGTCAAGACTACTACTGAACCTATGGCTCAGTGCTAAACCACAACGTTTCAAAAACCTTGGACAGTGAGACCTTAGTTTCTTTCATCATGTCTTCAGCAGAGATGAAGTGAAATCAGCTGGACACAAAGTTAACATGCGTGTTATAGGACAAGCCAAGTTGGACACTAACATTTACTCCTGACCATTTTTCTAAACATCCTGTTGTGTTGTTCAGATTTCTGAGCATGTGTGAGTTCACACCAGTGTGAACGTCGGCTTGGTGCAGACACATCCATCCCATCGTGTTGGCCTTTAGTTTTTGTATTTTTCTGAATGTTACTAGTGCTGTGTTATCTCTTTACCACAAGCCGCTGACGTTACTGTGACTACATTAACATGATGGCTGAACAAATGCAAACAAGTTGCAACTTGATTTTCATACTGTAAGGAAATGTCTGTGAACACACGCTGCTGGGATGACAGAGACAACACAGCAGGTTTTGTTTAGGGGAAATTACTGAATGTCATTTCACTCAGTTGGTAGATGTTAGTGTCTTTAGGGGGAAAAGCCCTGATAGAAGCTGATTCACATTGGGTGGCTTTGTCTGAACTACTGTGTGTAAGAGGCACGGGATTCTCAAGCAGCAGTTTGACAAGTTGGTACTTTAAAAAATGAAGAGCAGGCTTGCTGCACACCAAACATTCAGCTCTACACCAACAAAACTCTTGCTGAAATTTCTTATTTGTGTCAAAACCAAGAAGGTTTTTGCAAGTGTCTTTTGCAGCAGGACCCTCTTCATTTTCTGTTCTTGTCTACACCTGGCTGAGCTCCACAGCTTGCTGAGCGCGTTTCTGTTGGTGTTGCCTGAGTCATCAAATCAGTTATTCTGAGAAGATCTTTGACTTGTATCAATAAATTATTCACTTTCTACATAGTGCCCTCCTCGACTACAGTAGTTCTAGTAGAACGTACAGGAACCGAGAGACGATCCCGTTCACACACTTCTGTTCTCTCAAGCTTTTGGATTTGGTCTGAACTGTGTAGTCAGAGCTTCACTTCCCTTGGCTGCACTGCCATGAGGCCACGCACACAGTTACAGGTCAGTGAACACATTAACCAATAGTTGTAAACCTGAAAGTCAAAGAAAACCACATTCTGAGCCTCTGTGTCTTTACCTGCAAGTCACTCAGACTGAGCTCACTGGGAGGTTTTTCTGAAGTTTGCTCTGTCTCTATGCTGATGGGAGGGGGGGAGATGTTTTTCACACTCATGTTGACATGAGCAGATGAAGAAACCAAATCCTCGCGGCTTTGGAAATCTGGAAAGAACTTTACTTTCTGCCTTTACTTTAGACCCAGTGCAGCTTGAGGGAGTCCTGGGTGCATCGGTCAGAACCATATAGGACAGTCTGGGTGGTGGAGGGGTGGCCTGCCTGGGAGCCGCAGTTCAGGGCAGCAGTGTACCCAGACATAATAGCAGGTGCAGTTGTCTTTGTCCACACCTGAGCTTGATCCAGTCTCCAACCTGAAGTCAGCAATGTTTGCAGTTGACCTCTGAAACCTGGCATTGTGCAGGTGCTTCCTTCTGTTTTCCATTCTGTGATACTAAAACCAAATGGATCTGGTGCAGTTACAAACTTTAAGTGTTTTCATCCTGGGCTGCTACAGATGGTCTGGTGAAGTCAACTTGATTTGACTGTCCCTGAATGCATCTCTGAAATCCTGATGTTATGGCCTTGGTCAGAGTTGGAGCCTGTGAATGCGGCAGTACAGCTTTGGACACACTGACCAAATCCAAACTGTCATGGTGCATTTCCTCTCTGACAGCAGAAGGAAAACGTCAGATGTTAGAGTTGAACATCCTCTCAGATCAGACTATAGACGTAGAGGAGAGACCTCTGTTCTGACATCAGTTATTTACAGTCTGCTGTCCAAGCTTGCCCGACCCGAGACTCTATGACACCTGCTCTGATTAGTTTGTCCTGTTTCAGGCTTACCTTTGACCCAGCTGTTGTATCTGCTGTACTGAGGAGCACGTCCCTGCAGATGTGCTGTGTACTTCATTTGTATTGTAATTATTGCTAAAGCTCGGGTCTGGTTTCATGTTTTCATCCGAACTGCTGCTGGTCCTCGTGCCGATTCTTCAGCTCCGGCTTCGCTCTGGGGTTTTCTGAGTGTAACTGTTGTGAACGGGCTCTCTGTAAATGTCTATAAATATATTTTTTGTATGTATGCCTTTCCTAATGATCTGGAGAAGATAGATGTTATTTTTATATATTGCTGCAGAATCTTTGTAAGTATTTTATACTTTTGATATGGTTCTCTGTAAAACAAGAGTATTATGTAAATATAGTTCTTTAGAAACACGTGTGTGTTGTGTCTTTACATTAGGAGTTGTCGTCTGCAGCCTCACGGGCAGCACAGGTCAACCGCCTCCACTAACGCAATAAAGGGAATTGTGGTGTTTGTCAAATGAAACATCGAACTTTTGGAAAAATGGCAAAAATGAAACACGCTCATTGATTCAGGGCTTTGTTTAGACATCACTTCATGACTAAACTGTGCGATGGGAATGTGGCACGTTTCATTTATTAATTACTTAATAGTATGTTCTTGTTCTTCAGGACTGAGAAGAGGTGAAATCATATAATAATAAGAATAAAAGTTTATTTATATAGCACTTTACAACTCCAAAGGAGCAGAGTGCGTCACAACAGAACATGTATACGCTAATAACAAACACTACTAAAACAAGAAGACCTAAACAGAATAAAACACAAATTTTAAAAGCAGAAGGAGTAAAAAAAATTCCATATCAGGACACACACAGCGTAAAACAACGAGTTAAAAGAGGGTTAAGACTGGAACGGGTTAGGCA